AGGAGGAGGAAAGTGATTCCATCCTGAGCAGGGGGTTGGATTAGATGACCTCCAAGGTCCCTTCCAACTCTTGTTATTAGGAGGAGGGGGGAGGAGGAAAGTGATTCCTGCCTGAGCAGGGGGTTGCTCTAGATGACCTCCAAGGTCCCTTCCAACTGTTGTTATTAGGAGGAGGAGGAAAGTGATTCCAGCCTGAGCAGGGGGTTGGATTAGATGACCTCCAAGGTCCCTTCCAACTCTTGTTATTAGGAGGAGGAGGAGGAAAGTGATTCCTGCCTGAGCAGGGGGTTGCTCTATATGACCTCCAAGGTCCCTTCCAACTCTTGTTATTAGGAGGAGGAGGAGGAAAGTGATTCCAGCCTGAGCAGGGGGTTGGACTAGATGACCCTCAAGGTCCCTTCCAACTCTGTGATTATGTTAAATCAGTGCCCAGATCTAGGGAATCTGATTTCTAAATGCATTGTGAGGGAATTCTGCAATCCGGGCAGAGACGAAATCTGCTTCCCGGCTGGCTGCAAAGAGCCTTCCTGAATGTTTTGGGGCTTCGATCCCAGCCAGGAACTTGCTGGCGTCTCTGTGTGGAGACACATGTGTGCCAGATGTGCAAGAGGGATGTTGGGGGGGGAGAAAGAGGAAAAATGATGAATTCCTGGTGTTTTTCTTCCTTTCTTCCCTCTTGCCTGTCTTTCTTTTGCAAATGGGCGTTCGATCCGAGTTCGCAGAAATAAGTTTTGGGGCAGTCCTCTACTTACAACGGTTCATTTAGTGATCATTCAAAATTGCAATGGCACTGAAAAAAATGTGATTTAGGACGGTTTTTCACACTTACGACCATCCCAGCAACCCCCCTGGTCACGTGATCAAAATTCAGACACTGGGCAACTCATATTTATGACAGCTGTGGTGTCCCGGTGTGTGTGTGTGTGTGTGTGTGTGTGTCACATGATCCCCTTTGACGATCTTCCGACAAGCAAAGCCAGTGGGGAAGCTGGATTCGCTTAACGACCGTATGACTAACTTAACAACTGCAGCGATTCACTTAACAACGATGGAAAGAAAGGTCAACAAATGGGGCAAAACTCACTTAAACGACTGTCTCGCTTACCAAGGGAAAATTTGGGCTCAACTGCGGTTGTAAGTCAAGGACTACGCAAGTACCTGTGTCAGATCATTTCACCCTGCTCCTGGCCCTGTTAAAATAGGAATAAGCGGTAAAAATGTGGCTTCTACAGAACAAGAGAATATTTTCAAGCTAGAATGCAAAGAGGAAAGGAAATATTGCCCAATATGGTCAAAAAAGTCAAGATGGCGGCCATGGTCTAAACTTGGCCTGTTTATTTTAGGCATGTATAGTCCAGGTGAATCTTTGGTCTTATTTTGTGACTTTTTTTTTGACCCCAGACTGCCTGCTTCCCCACATACCACACTAACCCCAGCCCCTTCCTTGCTATGCTAGCTTTCTGCTTGCAGGATTGTCAAAATAAAACCCACCTCCCCACTCTGGAAAGCCCACCCAATTCCACCCAGCCTTCAAAGCACACAAAGCTGGTGAAAGATTTAGGGTGTTTTTTGTTTTTGTTTTAAAGAGAAAAATCAGATTTTTGTGTGTGTTTGCACTGGGGCGGGGTGCAATTTAGATGTGGGGAAAAAAACTCGATGTGGATTGCAGAATCTCTCTCTCTCTCTCTCTGTCTCTCTCTCTTTCTGTCTCTTTCTGTCTCTTTCTTTCTGTTTTTCTCTATCTCCTTTGCTTTCTCTCTATAGCTATTTCTTTCTGTCTCTAGCTCTTTTTCTCTTCCTTTCTCATTCTTTCTCTCTCTTCCTCTCTCTGTTTTCCTCTTTGTCTCTCTCTTTTTTCTTTCTCTCTCTCTTTTTCTCCCCATCCCTCTATTTCTTTCTCCCTTTCTCTCCCTCTTTTTCTCTCTTCTTTCTCTTCCTCTCTTTCTCTAGATCTTCCTCTTTGTTAGTCTTTCTTTCTCTCTCTCCATTTTCCTCTCTCTGTCTCTCCTTCTAGTTCTTTCTCTCTCTCTCCCCCCATCTCTTTTTCTTTCTTCCCCTTTCTCTTCGTCTCTTTCTCTTTTGTGCTTTCTGTTTCTCTCTCATTTTTTCTCTCCCTCTCTTTCGCTCTCTCTCTCTCTCTCCCTCTCTCTCTCTCAGCTGGTTGATCCTGGTTTCTTTTAGCAGGGCTGAAAACAGACACTTGCCCCATTGTGCGTTTCTCCCCCCCCCAAAGCAAACATGAAACTCTCCTTCCAGGACTTAAGCCTGCTTCCCACCCCCACATCTTCCCACCCCCCTCATCCCTTCTCTGGCCCAGCTGTGCACCCACCGCCGGGAAACAGGTCCAGGATAAGAGAGAGAGAGAGAGACAGGGCAGAGCTGACAAACGGTGTGAGGTGTGATTGTGCAGAAGGGGGGGTGGGTTTGTGGCAATCCAACTGCTGTTGACTCACCACTCCGCCCCACCCTTTCCGGCTCAGTGTATGGGGGAGTCCTTCCCCCCCCCTCATATGCCCCCCCCCTTGGGCTGCCAAGGAGGATTAGAGAAGGACCAGGAACAAAAAGGAAGATTATGACAAATACCAGCAACTGCAGGAGTCTAGCAGGCAGACAAACAGACCCACACAGACACACAAGTACACACAGAGAGCAGAAAACCCTCCCTAAAATAGCCAGAGGGAGACTCTAGGAAGGGAAGAAAAGGGCTAAAGCTTAGGATGATCCCAACTCAGACATCTCCACTGCTAGGAAGTGGGAAAAGCTGGGGGGGGGGGAAGACTTGGCTGGGTCGACTGTGGTTTGGGGTGCGTTGCACACAGCTTTTTTTGGGGGGGGGGGAAAGGGGGTCAAGGAAGAGCAAGGCAAGCAGATCAAGAGTAACCTGACAGGTGAGCCACTGGCATAGAAAAATAAGACGGGAATCTCACTCCCTTGCAGCACTGATGATGTTGCCTAGTTGGGCCATGAAACGTCTGCAAGAAAATAACGAGTTCAGGAAGCACCAGGGACCCCCCCCCAGAGTCCTTTTCTTCCTCCTCCTCCCCCTCCCCCTCCTCTCTATAAACCCCCCTCCCTTCTAGCCCTGATGACATTCCCTAATTGGTTCCTGAAACGTCTGCAAGAAAACAGCCAAGCTCAGAGAGCGCTAAGGACCCTATTGTCATGTTCCTCCTCCTCCTCCTCCTCCTCCCTTCTAGCCCTGATGATGTTCCCTAGTTGGGTCCTGAAACGTCTGCAAGGTGACCACCCAGCTCAGAGAGCGCTAAGGACCCCACAGTCATTTTCTTCCTCCTCCTCCTCCCTTCCAGCACTGATGATGTTCCCTACTTGGGTCCTGAAACGTCTGCAAGGTGACCAGCCAGCTCAGGGGGCACCCGGGACCCCACAGTCATTTTCTTCCTCCTCCTCCTCCTCCTCCTCCTCCTCCCTTCCAGCACTGATGATGTTCCCTACTTGGGTCCTGAAACGTCTGCAAGAAAAACCACCCAGCTCAGGGGGCACCCGGGACCCCCAAAGTTGAACTCCTGAGCTACCGATATTCTCTTCTATGGGCCAAGAGTAGCAGAGCATTTGTGGCGGGACACATGGAGGAGAATCCTCCAAAACACATGAAAATAAATAAACAGGTCTACTTATAAAGTGATAAATACACAAGCATCTGTAAATGCTCCTCGACTTGCCTCAGTTCATTTAAGGACCATTCAAAGTTGCAACAACATGGAAAAAACTGACTTATGACCAGTCCTCACACTTATGACCATTGCAACATGCCCACAATCACGTGATCCTCAGTTTGGGCACTTGGTAACCGCCATGGATTTAGGACAGATGCAGCATCCTGGGATCCCCCTTTGAGAACTTCACGGACGTTTTCCGACAAGCCAAGTCAATGGGAGAAACCGGATTCACTTAATGACCGCCTGATTCATTTAATGACTCCAGCGATGCTTAACAACCGTGGGATAAAAGGTCGTAAATTCAGGTATGACTCACTTAACAACGGCAATGGGAATTCTGGTTCTATTTGTGGTCGTAAGTCGAGGACAACCAAATTCACGTCTGCTTGATTAAGGCACAATTGTGTTGGCTTCACAACATCTGTGTTGCCTGAGGTAGAGTGTGGTTCCATGGGGACCCCCTAAATCAGGTCTGGGAATGTTTCTTACATTACAAAGAGTCACACAACTGTTCTCGCACTTGTACAGGTAGTCCTCGATTTACGACCACAATCAAGCCCAAAATTTCTGTTGCTAAGTGAGACATTTGTTTAAGTGAGTTTTGCCCCCATTTTACCACCTTTCTTACCACCGTTGTTAAGTGAATCCCTGTAGCTGATAACTTAGTCACACGGTTGTTAAGTGAATCGGGCTTTTCCCATTGACTTTGCTTGTCAGTGGGTCGCAAAAGGGGATCACATGAAGCCGGGACATCGCGACTGTCATAAACACGAGCATCTGAATTTTGATCACGTGACCGTGGGGAATGCAGCAACGGTCGTAAGTGTGAAAACTGGTCCTAAGTCACTTTTTTCACTGCCATTGTAACTTTGAATGATCACTAAATGAGCTATTGTAAATCGAGGACTATTTGTAGACCACACCAGATCCCCCAAACCTTTAGCAGACAAAACTGTACGGCCGCGGGCAGATGTAGTTGCACGCTTTGGCAGAATGGATCCACAGAATCCACTAGATTAACGCTGAGCACTGAGTGTCCTCCATCCCCCATTAAATTCTGACCCTCCCACGCTCAGCTTTCCCCACGGCGCATCGACCTACCCATGCACAGGGTGTCCGACAACGGGGTGCAAGGCTGGATCATGACCTCCGTTGGGCCGCATTCCTGTCGGCAAAGCAGACACGGCTCATACGGGCTCTTCACCTCCGAGTAATAACCTTCGCTGCACTTTTGGCACGACGTGTCAGTGCCAGGCTTGCACGCCTGGGTTGCCCCGAAGCCTTCCTCGCACACTTGGCAAGGAACGCAGGACCCTGGAGGCTGGGTCCCGTTTCCCGGCGCGAGGTAATGTCCACGTGGGCAGCTGGCGGCGCAGAGCGTGTCGCGTGTCGCAGTGCAGGAATCGTGGGTGGGAAGGTGTCTCGGGCATGTGGAACACAGCCGGCACGGGTCGGTGGCACTGGCAGTGGAGGAGAACGTCACATCTGCGATAAGAGGAAAGCACAACTAGCGTGCGTGATGTCATCGCCCAGATTTGAGACGAACACTTGATCAGTTCCCGGAACTTTTGAGTTTGCACAATTAGAGAGAATGAGCAATGCGTTGCATTAAAGTACGTGTGCGTAACACAGCCAGCGATACAGTAGAAAAAAGGAATGAATTCAACAGGTAGTCCTCAACTTACGACCATAATGGTGCCTGCCCATAACAATCGTAAATCGTGACAGTCCTCATACTTACGACCCATGATCAAAATTCAGGCACTTGGCAACCGGCATCATTTATGAGGGTTGCAGTGTCCTGGGGCCACTTGATCGTCTTTTTTATGACCTTTCTGACAAGCAGAATCAAGGGGGAAGCCAGATTCACTTAACGACCGTGTGATTCATTTAACAACTGCAGTGACTTGCACAACAAATGTGGCAAACAAGTTTGTAAAATTGGGCAAGGATCGCTCAAGACTGCCTTGCTTAGCCGAGGAAGTTTTACCCCCAGTTGTGTTCGTAAGTCGAAGACTTAACCCAGAACCGTTCTAGAGAGTGACCTATGGTCCAACTGGAGTAATGCCCCCCAGGGGGCAAAATTTTAGCGCATTCTTGAGCCATTTGTAATTTATTTTTTAAGTTATTTCTATCCTGTCTTTATTATCTTTATAAATAACAAGAGACAATAATCCTTCCTCTAATTTTTCCCACATCAACGCTGTGAGGTGGGTTGGGCCGAGAGAGAATGACTGGCCCAAAGTCACCCAGCGATTTTCTTTCCTAAGGTGGGACTAGAACTCACAGTCTCCTGGTGATTGGCCCAAAATCACCCAGCTGGCTTTCATTGATAAGGAGAGACTAGAATTCACTGTCTCCAGGTGATTGGCCGGAAGTCACCCAGCCAGCTTTCACTCTTAAAGCAGGACTAGAACTCCCAATCCCCCAGTCTCTACTGATCTACTATTACCCATCTCTGAATTTGTTATATATCTGTTTGGAATGACTTAGGATCCAAACCGGGGTTCACCCCTACAAGGAACTGGATACTCACTTTCTTGGCAGGGTTCACACACGGTGTTGGTGCTACCACAGGGCACACGTGCCCCAAAGCCCGGAGGACACAGGGTGCAGCACTCTCCTGACGAAGCCACCTGCCCGTTTTCACAGCCTTGATGCGCCAGAAGCTGAAACCAGACCAGAGAATCAAACCAGTAGTTAAAAATCAAGGTTTGCAAACTCCGTAACTTTGCAATCTCTTGAGATCCTTTTCTCTCGTTTCCAACCCTTAGAAACACAGACAAGGTGAGAAAACCGAACAGGGTGACTTTCAGATGCATGGACTTCAACTCCCAGAATTCATGGCTGGCTGAGGAATCCTGGGAGCTGAAGTCCATGGGTTTTAAAGCAACCAAGATGGGAAAGAAAGGGTTGCACAAAAGAAAAAGAAGAGTAAGGCTGAATGCCTGATAATAATAATAATAATAATAATAATAACAACAACAACAACAACAACAACGATGATGATGATGATGATAAAGTTGGAAGGGACCTCGGAGGTCATCTAGTCCAACCCCCTGCTCAGGCAGGAAACCCTATACCATTTCGGACAAATGGCTGTCCAGTTTCTTCTTAAAAACTTCCAGTGTTGGAGCATTCGCCGCTTCTGGAGGCAGGCAGTTCCACTGGTTAATTGTTCTAACTGTCAGGAAGTTTCTCCTTAGTTTCAGGCTGCTTCTCTCTTTCGTTAGTTTCCACCGTTGCTTCTTGTCCTGACTTCGGGCGCTTTGGAGAATAGCTTGACTCCCTCTTCTTTGGGGCAGCCCCTGAGATACTGGAACACGGCTATCATATCCCCCCCTCGTCCTTCTCGTCATTAAACTAGACATACCCAATTCCAGCAACCGTTCCTTATATGTTTTAGCCTCCAGTCCCCTAATCATCTTTGTGGCTCTTCTCTGTACTCTTTCTAGAGTCTCAACATCTTTTTTACATCGTGGTGACCAAAACTGGATGCAGTATTCCAAGTGTGGCCTTACCAAGGCCTTGTAAAGTGGTATTAACACTTCACGTGATCTTGATTCTATCCCTCTGTTAATGCAGCCCAGCACTGTGTTGGCCTTTTTGGCAGCTGCAGCACACTGCTGGCTCCTATTTAAGTGATTGTCCACTAGGACTCCGAGGTCCCTCTCACAGTTGGTACTATTGAGCAAGGTACCCCCTATACTATACCTGTGCATCTAGAACTCATCGTCTCCTGGTGATTGGCCCAAAGTCACCCAGCTGGCTTTTATGCCCAAGGTGGGATTAGAACTCACCGTCTCCTGGTTTGCAGCCCAGGCATTCACCCCTATATCAAAAGGGCTCTCTTTTCCCAGCAAATCCTAGACACCCACGACACCCACCCCTATTCATCTTTGTTGCCCAGCCACATTGGGAATGATGGGCATTGTAGTTCTTCCTTCCAGATGGGACCAGGGAATTTCTGGTATTGCAAAGTTGGGGGGGAAAATGCACTTTGAACCCTCCTGAACCAGCCAGCCCCCCCTTCTCTGAAAAGCTGAGCAGAGTTGGAGTGGGGAGGGTCCCCCAAGGTTTTTGAGCAGCCAAAAACACACCAGCAGTCATTTTCTGCAGAAAAGAGCAAGGAGTTTTTTTTTTAATTCACTGTTGCGAGGGGCTCCTACTTCCCCAGACACCACCCTGTGGGGGTCTTTCTTAATAATCTTCGGAATGCACCAGAATCCCCCCCCCGCCTGCTGAAAAACACGACCGTCGGTCCAGCGAGGAGGAATCTTCTGCCTGGGGCGAACGATGCCCTGCAGCTGGCAGTCAGGAATGTCTCTGGACCCCACCCTGGGCCGAAGGAACAAAAACACCCTCTGTTCCTCCCAGGGTCCCGTTCCCCCCCCCGCCCCAAACCCCCCCGGCTGCTCCCCTCCTCCCCCCCTCCCCAGCCCTCCAGATCCAAGCCCTACTTCTAATTAAGCCGAAACCTGTCCTGTCACTCCAGGAAGAAACCAGATCCTATTATCCAGCCCCCCCAAAAGGATCTAAAACCCATCCTTATTCCAAATAAAGAGAGAGAGAGAAAGTGGCAGGGGGGGGGTCCTCTGGAGATTTTCATCGCCCTGTCAGAAGGGCCTGGCCTTGAAATACAGTCCTCGACTTACAGCGGTTCGTTTAGTGACCGTTCAAAGTTGCAAGGGCACTGAAAAAAGTGATTTGAGACAGTTTTTCGCGCTTAATGACCATCACAACATCCCCGTGGTCACGTGATCAAAATCCAGACACTTGGTAACTGTCACTACGGTTGCAGTAGTGACCCAGGGTCCCGTGATCCTCTTTTGCGACCTCCTGACAAGCCAAGTCAATGGGGGAAGCCAGATTCACTGAACAAGGAAGGTCATAAAATGGGGCAACATTCACAGTCTTGCTTAGCAATGGAAATGTTGGGCTCCATTGTGGTCGTAAGTTGAGGACTACCTGTGAACTGTTTCTCCCAGTAGACTTGACTATATGCCCCTGGAATTGCCTTTCAGCAGCAGGTCAGAGATAAACTGCTCCTGATTGTGGAAGCTCAATTTATCCTCTCTGACTTGACTTGGCCTCCTTTTAGAGCAGTATTGTCTAAACTTGGCAATGTTAAGATGGGTGAGACTAACTCCCAGAATTCCCCACCTGTCCATAGTTTAAGCTGGCTGGGGCATTCTGGGAGTTGAAGCCCTCCCCTCTTAAAACATGCCGGCTGGGGGATTCTGGGAGCGGAAGTCCTCCCCTCTTAAAATCGCTAAGGTTGGAAAATGGTAGTCTAGGCCAGGGCTAGGCCACCTTGGCTCTTTTATGACTGGTGGACTTCAACTCCCAGAATTCCTGAGCCAGCATGGCTCAGCTTGGAAACCTCTCCCTTTCCCCTCAGCATGGCTGGCTCAGGAATTCTGGGAGTTGAAGTCCACGAGTCATAAAAGGGCCAAGGTGGCCTACCCCTGGCCTAGGACCTTGAAAATTAAAACCTCCATCTCCTATTGGTCAGGTTTCCTAGGCAATAAATAATCCATACAGTAAATGTTTTGTTATCGCTTCCCAGCTTATAGTCTGAGCTTTCCTGGTGGTGCCCCATCCACGAGCTAGCCAATTCTCTGACAGACAAGCTCAACCATTCCTGGACCCCTCACGAGTCAATCCTTTGGGGAAAATGGGCGTGTTTCTCCCCCAACCTTACAAATACCTCCAATTTTCATTTATGAAAGGGACAAGGAAAAATCTCTTTTCATTGACGGAGAATGTTTTTCCCTGGGGCATTTTGGCGTGAAAAGCTGAAACTCACGTCTTCTGGATTCCTTCCAATTTTCAACACACAAATATGTGCACACAGACCCACAAACCCACCCCAAACTCTCCTGCCATTTCCTCTAAGCCAGAAATCCCTACAGGCAACAATGCAGCACGTAAAAATTGAAAATACAGGTGGGTCCTTGACTTACAACTACAACAGCACTGAAAAAAGGGACTTATGACCCTGCAATGGTCACACTTATGACCATTGCAGCATCCCCCTGGTCACGTGATCAAAATTCAGATGCCTGGCAACTGACTCATAGTTACGACGATTGCAATGTCCCAGGGTCACATGATCCCCTTTTGCGACCTGACAAGCATAGTCAAAAAGGGAAGACAGATTCAGTTAACGACCATGTGACTCACTTAGCAACCACAGTGATTCACTTAATGGTGGCAAAGGAAGATTGCAAAACGAGTAAAACTCACTTAGCTGCCTTGCTTAGCAACATAAATTTCAGGCTCACTTGTGATCATAACTCCAGTACTACTGGAGTCCCTGGAGATCATCTAGTCTGACCCCCCGCCCAAAACAGGAGTCTTTATACCATCCCAGACAAATAGTTGTCAAATCTTTTCTTGAAAAAAGGAAGGGGGGGGGAGAAGCCAAGTTTCAAAAAAACTGGTTTAGATATTTCCAAAAAATGCTTTTTCAAATATACCTTTAAGGAAAAGATGTGATTTAGGAAGAAAGAAATGAAGAAGTACAAAATTTAGGACAAATAATTCATACATGCAACCAATCTCCAAAAACCAAATCTGTGCTATTAACATTAAAACTTAACCACTCCTATTTTTTGAAACCACAACAACTTTTTTCTATTTACAAAAAATATTATTATTATTATTGCTGTCATTGCACAAACCCAGACAGAAAACAAAATAAACACTCACAGCGGATGTTTTGGGTGATATTTTTCTGGTTCATCCTCAATTCTACAGCAGAGGCAATCCTCGACTTACAATCATTCATTTAGTGACCATTCAAAATTAGGACAGCACTGAAAAAAGTGACTTATGACCATTTTTCACACTTACGACCATTGCAGAATCCCCGTGGTCACGTGATCCAAATTCAGGCGAATTTAACAACTGCAGTGATTCACTTAACAACTGTGGCAGGAAAGGTCATAAAATGGAACAAAGCTCACAACGAATGTTTTGCTGAGGGACAGAAATTTTGGGCTCAACTGTGGTCGTAAGTCAAGGACTGCCTCTACATGGAAACCTTCTGAAGTACTTTAATTACTGTAGGGTAACGTCAACCAATTTAAGCTGCATGTTGTCTCAAGATTAGGAAAACGACTCTCAGATAAAACATTACAATCTACATTTCCAGTATCAGTGGGAACTTTAATCCTCCTTTTTCATCATTTTTCATTGGCTGCGCTGGAAAAGAAAGCTGGGTGGAAATTAATGGGAAGAGAACAATAGATATTGTGAGCTGCTTGACAATATGTTTTTTATTAGGCCAGAAATCCTTGCTAGTCACTTTTAAAATTCTTTGCTGCAATTCCTGTCCTTTTAACTGGTCTTGGTATCTATTCACACATGACTTTGTCCCAGTTTTGTCAAAATAACACATTATTTCTTCTGTCTCAAAATAATTAATATTTAATTGTGTGTGCAAATGATGCTTTCCCATTTTTAAAAAATTAAATATGTGAAATTTGTTGTGTGTTTCTTTTCACTTTTCAGCCTACATATTCCTTTTTGTTTTGGTTCACTTTTTATGAGAAAAAGTCCCTCTGGGACCAAACTTGATTTTATGATGTTCTATCTACAAAGAATCCTTGGTACTGATATTGTAGTGTTACTGTTAACCACAATTAGCTTTTGTATGGGGGATTTATCTTTGCATTGGGAGTTAATTTTTGCATTCATTTTTTATTTTTGCATTGAGTTTTAATTTTTGTATTTGGGTTTTCTCTTTGCATTAAGTTTTTATTTTTTGCACTGAGCTTTTATTTTTCTGTTTGGGTTTTATTTTTTGGAATGATGTTTTATTTTTGCATTGGGGTTTTAATTTTTGCAGTGAGATTTTATTTTTCCATATGGATTTTATTTTTGCATTGGGGCTTCATTTTTTTATTAGAGTTTTATTTTTCTATTTGAGTTTTAGTTCTGCACTGGGGTTTTATTTTTGCACCGGGGTTATAATTTTGTAAGCAGCCCAGAGTCACCGTGAGTGAATTGGGTGTCCATATACATTTTCTTAATAGATAAATAATAACAAATACATTTATAATTCTATTTAAATATTTATGCAAACGGAAAGAATAAGCCAGAAATGGCTTCTCAAATGCCCACCTTCCATTTGTTGTGAGGGCAAACAAACCTGCTTGTTGCCTTCACATAATATCCAAAACCACATGAAGATAAAAATCGGAAGCATTCAGACATTACGCCACCAAACCTGGGTTCAGGTTAACACAATTTAGGATGCAGTGGGGTTTGAGGGAGAGTAATTGACTCTGTTGGAGAACTCCATCCCCCCCATACACACATTCAAGGCACTGTGTAAATCTAGCAAGCAGTTTAATCCATTCATAGGGTTAAGGATGTTGTGTGAATGCAAAACCAAGCTTGTGCTGTCTCATTTGCACCCTGGTTTGAGGAATCTCTATTTTGCTGTATTTTTTTTTTCTTTTTGCAATGGTGGACCTCAACTTTAAACTAAGCTTTAATGAAACCCCCGAAATGGTAGTTTTGTGAACTCTTGAGACCTGTGTAGCAACTTCAGAGCTGGGTCAAAGGGTGCAAGGGTTTTGGAAAATCCCTGATGCAAATTCAGCCTCACAAGAGTCTTTTTTGGGGGGTAGGGGGAGATCTTCCCATTTCACAGCCTGGCAAACTGAGTCCAAATGGAAATCAGGGAAGGATTGGAGGAGACTCAGGAATGAAACCTTTTTTCACAATTATTCCCCTTCTAAAGATTCCTCCTCTCCTCCTTTCCTTTTTCTTCTCCTTCTTCTCCTCCCTTCCTCCTCCCTTTTCTTTTTTCCTTCCCCTCTCCCTCCTTCGCTTTCTTTTACTTCTTGTCCTTCTACTCCTCCTTCTCTTCTTCCTTCCTCCTCCTTTTCCTTCTTTCCTCCCTCCCTCTTTTTTTCCTTCATCTCCTCCTCCTGTTCCTCCTCCTTTCCTTCCTTTTCCCCTTCTTCCTTTCTCCTTCACTGCTTCTTTTCTTTCTTCCTTCTTTCCTCCCTCCATCCTTACCTCTTCCTTTTCCTTCCTTCCTTCCCCCCCACCCCTGCCAGCTTTCCTCGCATGGACCCCCACCCTTTTGGGGGGGGGAGCAGTGTTCACACGACCCGCTTATTCCGCCTTTGCCCCGGCTAGGCTTTGCTCGGTTCTGCTGAGCCCAGAAAAGGGGGCACACTCAGAACACGCGTTGAGTGGATCGTGTAAATGGGGTACCGGGGAAACAGACCCCTCCCAAGGCCCAATTTGCAGGCAGTTTGTTAAAGGACCGAACTCCCATCCTCCCCAACAGCCAGACCCCCATCCATTGGGGGGCTTTTCCCTGGGGAGGGGGGGGCGATCTGAAGGGTCCTTACTCCCCAAGGAAACCCTCCAATGTCTGGACCTCCTTTTGCTTACACCCCCCTTAAAGAGGGGACATCCGATGCTTGGGACAGGGGTCTTTCCCCCCTCCCGGGACAGCCCCCCTTCCCCAAAGCGACCCCCGGAGCGACCCACCTTGGCGGCCAGCAGCTGCAGCGCCAGCACGAAGCGCCGGGTCAGATTCATCTCGTCTGGACGATCCGGAGGCGGAGTTGGGGGGGGTGGGGGGTCTTCCCGGCCGATGAGCCGGGCGGAGGGCGCCGGAGACCCTCTTTTCTGACCCGCTCCTCGGGAGGTCGCGGGTGGGCGGCAGAGAGAAAGAGAGGCAGACTCCGGGCCGGGGTCGCAGCAGAGCCCCGCAGATGCGTCTCCCTCCCGGCCCGGCCGAGCAAGAAAAAAGCGACCCCCTCCCCAATTCCCAGCCGAGGGAAGCGGCGCCTTTGAAGTTGCCGGAGTTATTTGGCGCGGCTTGATCGGGGGTCGCCACTTCCCCCAGGCCGGGCTGGTTGGGTTGAGGGTGGGGGTCTCTACTCCGGGTCTGCCTTTGCCGGGACTGCGGGCTGGCCCCGTTCACACGCTCTCCCCACCCGTCCCGTCCCGTCCCCCCCCGGGAAGGGGCGTCTTCCCTGCGCCTTGACCTCGCCCCCCGCCCGCCCCTTTCAGCCCCCCGCCCCATTAGGGGGGGAGGAAGGAGAGACAAAGAGGGGGCAGAGGCGAAAGAGTCGCGCTTGGAGGGGGGGGTCGCGTTTGTGACTCACAGACCCACAATCACACAGGCACAAAGACACACAGGCAACCTGACACAGACTCACGGACACAATGACACAAGGACCCTGACACGCACCCTGACACAAAGACCCACGCACACTAGAAATCTGGTGAGCCAGCCTGCCACACAGGAAGTGCCCGACTTACGACCACAATGGAGCTGAAAACTTTTGTTGCCAAGTGAGTTTTGTCCCGTTTTACGACCTCTTGCCACAGTTGTTAAGGGAATCCCTGTGGTTGTTCAGTTAGTAACACAATGGCCACACCATTTGCAGCGTCCTGGGGACACAGGATCCCCCGCTTACGACTTTCCCACAAGCAAAGTCAAGGGGGGAAGCCAGATCTGCTTAACGACCGCCTGATTCACTTAATGACGAGAGGGATTCGGTGGACAAGAGTGGCAAAAAAAAGCTCATAGAATCGGGTGCGAGTCACTTAACAACTGCTGTGTTTAGCAATGGAATATTTTATTTTTATTATTTATTTGATCGTTTTATATTTTTTTTATCTTTTTTATTTTATTTTATTACAGGTAAACATACAACCACAATTGAGCCCAAAATTTCTGTTGCTAAGTTGTTAAGTGAGTTTTGACTCATTTTATGACCTTTTTTGCCACCGCTGTTAAGGGAATCACTGCTGTTAAGTTAGGAACACGGTCGTTAAGTGAATCTGGATTCCCCGTTGATTTTGCCTGTCAAGAGGTCGCAAAAGGGGATCGTGTGACCCCGGGACCGTTGTAAATATGAACCAGTTGCCAAGCGTCCGAATTTTGATCACGTGAAGACTACAACAGTCGTAATTGTGAAAAACAGTCACAAATAACTTTTTTCAGTGCCGTTGTAACTTTGAACGGTCACTAAACGAACGGTTGTAAGTCAAGAACCATCTGTACTTGATTTTATTCATTCATTTACTCAGTTCGTTCATTTAGAGAATAATTAGAATATTATTTTCTATATATTATACAAGCGAAATTATTATTATTATTATTATTTAGACTACATAATAATAGAGAATACTATTCAGCTCATTTATTAACGAAATTCTGAATTTTCTTCCCAATTGTGGTCATTGAGGACTAGCTGTAGACAGAATTCCTGAATTCAGAGATTTCGAAGTCCCAAGCAGAGCGGTCCAGCCTTGGCAATTAAAACCAGAGGGGAGGGGTCTTTCCCCCCCCCCCCCAGCTATTTGGGTTATGGCTGAGACCCTGAAGTGCAGGACATAAACTTGTCCGGTCCCCCCAAGCAGGGGGGCTTTGAGAATTGACCCACAGGCCTTTCTTCCCCCTCCTTTGATCTCTGCAATCTTTGGACTCTACCGGCCCCCTCCCCAAATTCCAGGCGATGTTATTTCCGGTCTCTTGAAGTGCAGGAGACAAGGGGGGGGGCAGGGGGTGTGGGAGGGGGCCGGCCAGGGAAATCTTCCTTAGAGACAGAGGAAAAGCAAATTTTATTCCAGGGCTCACAAAAGCTCCTGCTTTAAAAAAATGAAAAAAAAAAAAGAAGAAAAATTATTATCAAATTTCTGATTTATTTATTTATTTATTGGCTAGCAAGCTGTAGCTCAGAAAACCTGATGCCTTTTTTTTATAAAATTGTTACCCGGGAAAAGAGCCACCAGATTCCTTCTGAACGCATCAATTATGATTTTACAGACTCTGATGCCTTTTTTATAAAATTGTTAGCCGGAAAAAGAGGCACCGGATTCCTCCTGAACACATCAAATATAGGAAATCCTGAATCCCGGAGTTCTGGCACCACTGTAAATAAATGCTAATTGCTAAGAAGGGCCTGAATTGCAATCAGATGACCACAGGGACACTGCAAAGACAGGTGTCAATCAATGATGGATTGTAAGTCATGTTTTTCTAAGCAAAAATATCCCTGGGCCAGTTTGTGTAACGGAATAAAATGGGAAGTCATTGTTGAGAAGAAATAAAAAATTGGACACACTTTGTTATGCTTTTATCTTTTTTTAATGTCAGCCTTGGCTTGCTGACGCTTTGATCTGAGATGGTGGCGCTGAAGACATACCGCGAGTCCTAGCTTAACGACCACAATGGAGCCAGGACCAGTTGCTAAGTTAAATGCGTTTTGCCTCCTTTTGTGACCTTTCTCGCCAGTCGTTACGTGAATCACTTCAGTTGCTAAGTTAGTCGTTAAGCGAATCCAGCTTCCCCCATTGACTTTGCTTGTCAGAAGGCCGCAAAAGGGGATCACGTGACCCCAGGACGCTCTGACCGTCATAAATACGAGTCAGTTGCCAAGTGTCCCGGTTTTGATCACGTGACCATGGGGATGCTGCAACGGTCCTACATGTGAAAAACGGTCATAATTACTGCCCTCAACTGCTGGTCTCATAATTCAATGAGGTCTCCAGTTTTCTACCAGTGATTTTCAACCTTGAGAACGTTAAGATGGGTGGAATTAAATGGTCTATTATCCACTTTGGGGGTGGATTTTATTTTTTTCTGTTTTGAAATCAGATACTCCACACTCAGATCTCCTGGTGGTCTCCCATCCTGCCACAAAACAGGTCGATTCTGATTGGCATTTCCAGCTCGGAACCTTTCCCCAATCCATGCCTTCTATTATGCCATTGTTTTATTTTATTATTAGTTTTATCCTCATCTCTTAAACGCTGGAAAGAACCAAAATGGATTATGTATGAAAAAAAAAATCATAAAATGCCACAAAATAAACAATTCGCATCAAATAAAGCACTGCAAAGGAGGAAGAAACAGACATGACAACTTTGCAAAAAAAAAAAAAAAAGGAAAGGAAGAGGCAGAACGGATATGGGTCAGGCTTCAAAAGAACAGCATAGTCTTAAATTTTCAATTTGCATAATTTAAACACTTTAATTATTTGTCTTTTTATCATCTGTAAAAGGCCCAGAGTTGCCTTGCAGAAACATTGAATAAAAGAATATGAAATCATCAAATAAAAGAATGGATCCCAAACAAGAATGCCTCAGGAGATTTTTTAAAAAAAAAGAGAGAGAGAGAGAAAGGAATTTGCAATTCGGGTGCCACAACTATTGCCAACAATTTACAAGGGTTTTTACAGCCGGCCTCTCTCATCTGGATGTTTGTACCTGCCCAATTCGACAATTGTCAGGGTTCTGTGTTTTTATTCCCCAGGATGCAAAAGACCACAATATGCCACTTCAAAGGGGTCGTTGAGGAAGATCAGAGAGGTGGGAGGAAGTGTGTGTGTGTGTGTGGGGGGAAGGTGCCATGGGTTCCCCCCACCCAGAAAAGGCCATTGAATTTTATGAGCCCCTCTTTTGAAGTCCCGAGATGGCTCCAGGAATCAAGAATTGATGCCTCCGGGCTTCCTTCCTCCTTAATGTGGACTAATGGACTGGGTGGCTTTTGCTGAAGACATATGGGAGAGAACGCAATTGATTCTGCTTATAACAGAATGACAGAGCTGGAAGGGGCCCTGGAGGTCATCTAGTCCAGCCCCCTGCTTAAGCAAGAGTCCTTATTCCATTCAGGAGAAATGGCTGCCCAGTCTCTTCTTGAAAAACCTCCAGTGTTGGAGAAACCACAACTTCTGGAGGCAAGCCCTTACACTGGTTAATTGTCCTCACTGTTAGGAAGTTTCTCCTTAATGCTAGATTGATTCTTCCTAGGAACCGGGGTTAGCCGCGTGGAAGGACCAACGGCCTAGCCTTATAAGCTATCGGGAATTGCGTATAGAAATTTGCAACACTGATTTTGATTCTGTGAATCGAAAAATACAAGTCGGAGTGTTTCTCAATATTAGGAATGTTAGGATGAATGGACTTTGAATCCCAGAATCCCCCAGCCAACATACTTCAAGATGGGTGGACGTCAACTCCCAGAATCCCCCAGCCAGCATGATTTAAGAGGGGAAGAGTTCAACTCCCAGAATCCCCCAGCCAGCATGATTTAAGAGGGGAAGAGTTCAACTCCCAGAATTCCCCAGCCAGCATGATTTAAGAGGGGAAGAGTTCAACTCCCAGAATCCCCTAGCCAGCAGGCTTTAAGAGAGGACTTTAACTTCCAGAATCCCCCAGCCAGCATGATTTAAAAGGGGAGGACTTCAACTCCCAGAATTCCTCAACCAGCAGGCTTTAAAAGGGGAGGACTTCAACTCCCAGAATCCCCCAGCCAGCATGATTTAAAAGGACTTCAACTCCCAGAATCCCCCAGCCATCAGGCTTTAAGAGGGGAGGACTTCCACTCCCAGAATTCCCCAGCGGGCATCATTTAAAAGGGGTGGGCTTCTGGGAATTCAAACTACTGAGGCTGAGAATCAGTGTGCCTTCAGCTTTGGAGGCAGAATCTGAATATTGGGGTCACAGCAGCAACAAGGAAAGAAGGGGCATCCTGGGAATGGTGTCAAATCTGTAAGAGGGTGGGCGGGACCTCATGGATGAAGCTCCGCCCCTCCTTGCAGCTTTTTACCTTCCTACTAGGGAAGGCTGCCTTAATTTCCAATTTGCGGGGTGTCTCATGCGACATCATCCAAGACGAAGGCCAGTAAGATGGTTGGGAAATTGCAAAGAGTTTCAACTAGGTTTAGACCCTGAGGGATCAGGCCGAAATCCATGTATCTAGTCTCCATCTCAATGGTGGACTACTCTAACCATAATCCTCCATCTGATGCAAAACGGGGTCCTTCCTCCTTCTTCAAGGGATTTCAACGCATTTCAAGAGACAATAGGATGCCTTTGATACGGAGCTCCTCAACTTGTTTAATGACCATTTGAAGTCACAACAGCATTGACGCTTACGACCGTCGCGGCAACCTCATGGTCATGTGATCAAAATTCAAACTCTGACTCGTATTTCTGACAGTCGCAGTGTCTCCTGGGGTCACATGATCCCTTTTCGTGACCTTGACAAGCAAAGTCAATGGGGAAATTGGATTCACTTAACAACCGTTACCAGCTTAACAACTGCAATGATTCACTTAACAAACGTGACGAGAAAGGTCGCAAAATGGGTCAAAACTCACTTAAAAACTGTCTTGCTTAGCGTTGGAAATTTTGTGGTTGTAAGTCAAGTTCAACCTGTACTGGTGGGTGGATCCCTCTTTTCACAAGCAGAATTGTTTCACCGACTTAAGTTGGTCACATCTTTATAAACCATCATTCATGGCTTGTTATGGGTTGGACGGTTCAACAACCTGTGGATCTCTGGCTTGTTCTGGAGTGGATTTTACACATTGTACAACTAAGTTGCCAATCCAGACCTTGCTAAATTGAGACGCAATATTCCCGCGCCACCAGAAAGTTCCTGGGTGTCAAACAATTGTGGGAATCCATCATCTAAAACCTCAAATGACTCCACTGCCCAGGATCTGCAGATCTTCTTTATCTTGTCTTTTTACCAGCCTCGCACCGGCTTCCATGTCTCCACAACTCGGCCCCCACTATGGACGAAGAAGATGGGGTGCATTGCGGCCGTGGCACACGCCTATCATTTGGGCAGGGCGGGGTTCCCCAAGTTGCATAAAGCAAAGAGAAAGAGAGAAAAGTGAGACAATTGGAAACACAGCTAGCTGCGTTGACAAACACACTTCCCAGGGTCAAAAAAAAAGGCCCAGTGGACGCATTCACACAACCTGAAAAAAAAAACCTGCTTGGGGTTAACTCGTGTTAGCCTTGTTTTGTGGCTGAATGTCATGCGAACGCTTCCAGATTAGTCAGTTTAAGATCCTGGGCATTGTGCAAAGCAGAAAAACTGGCGAGTCAGAATTCAGGTTAAATGGGTTGTGTGAATGCAGCCTCGGAAGACCTTTGGGAGAGGCTGGACCAACAGCAAACCTGCACAGAAGGGGTTGTTTGTTGCCAATTTCACTGTATACATGTTATACTTTAATAATAAAGGGTTTATTATTATTATTTATTATTATTATTTTAGATCCAAGCCAGACTTACGTGATAAGGAATCAGAGCAAGGAGGCTGCCCAGAGGGAACTTGGCAAAATCCAGCTTCCCGGTCATGGGTTCGATTTTTCCGTGCTCCTGGGTCATCCCCACCAATCTGTAAAGGAAGATCAGAAACTGCTTTTCCTTCTGGATGGGACCTCTCTTTTTCTGAAGACGTGCCATTTCGCAGAATCCTAGGGTTGGGAGAGACCTTAAAGATCCTCTAGTCCAACCCCCCGCCAAGGCAGGAGACCCTATACAGGTAGTCCTCGACTTACAACGGTTCATTTAAAAAGTGACACAAGATTGTTTTTCACATTTACAACTGTTGTAGCATCCCCACGGTCACGTGATCAAAATTCAGAGGCTTGGCAACTGACTCGTATTTACGAAGGTCGCAGGGTCCCGTGATCATGTGATCCCCTTTTGCGACCTTCTGACAAGCACAGTCCAGGAGGAAACCAGATTTATTTAAGAACCCTGTTACTAATGTAACAACTGCAGGGATTCACTTAACAACTATGGCAGGAAAAGTCGTAAAATGGGGCAAACCTCATTTAACAAATGTTTCACTTAGCGACAGAGGTTTTTGGCTCAATTTTGGTCTTAAGTCAAGGACTACCTGTAGCATTCCAGATTGCCCTTGCTGGAAAATAATGGCGGAGGGAGAAGCCCTGGACAGGCTGCTGTTCTTTAGGGAAAGCGCTGAGGAAGGAGGGTTCTTCTTGGTGGTGGCCCCACGGGATCTGTGGAAGTCCGGCTGCATTAAAGGCCCTTCGCTTTTAGGCAGGAACCGAGGGGGTCTCCTCCCTCTTCCACTGACCCTTTGGCCCAGAGTGACTTGAAGGGTGTTTATGTTTTGAAATTTTTAAAAAAATGTATTATATTTTTAATTATCCATGCTGTATGGATTGGGGCAGCCTATAAATACTTTTTGAGATAGATCAGTGGTTCTCAACCCTTTTAATGCCGCGACCCCAACCGGTCGTAAGTCGAGAACTAAACCGGTCATAAGTCGAGGACTAAACCGGTCGTAAGTCGAGGACTACCCAACCGGTCGTAAGTCGAGGACTTTCCCTGCCCGGGAGTGCCGCGCATGCGTGGTTCTGCCCCCTGCGCCGGCCGAGGCGTAGCTGGCAAGCGGCAGAGACGGAGCAGGCCGACCACCAGCTGGCCCAGCCCAAGGGAGGTAAGGCACCCGCCGGAAAAGGGGGAAAAAATGGCAGACAAAAAAATGGCGGACAAAAAAAATGGCGGACAGCCTTGCTTGGCGACCCCCATGAAATGGTCGATTGACCCCAAATGGGGTCCCGACCCACAGGTTGAGAACCACTGTGATAGATAGACAGATGACAGATCAGATGGATGGATGGATGGATGGATGGATGGATGGATGGATGGATGGATGGATGGATGGATGGATAGATAGATAGATAGATAGATAGATAGATAGATAGATAGATAGATAGATAGAGATAATGACAGATATAGATCATTAATATATAAGAAATGAAAGATAGATAAATGATAGATAATAAACAGATTGAGATAGATAGATTAGATAAATAAATAGATCATTAATATATAAGAAATGAAAGAAAGTTAGACAAATGATAGATACTAAAATGAATTGAGGGATAGATGGACAGATCATTAATATATAATAAATGAAAGAGATAAATGGATAATAGATAATAAATAAACAGATGAGATAGATGATAGATAATAGATATAGACAGACAGACAGACAGATAGATGGATGGATGATAGGGATGAAGAGAGAAAGAGGATTGATTGGTGTATAATAGATGATTAATATATTATTGAAATAGGTAATAAAGATACATAAATGATTAGATAATTTAAATGATACATAATGGATAAATGAATAAATATACATAGATGAGATAATAGAAATGATAGTTAATTGATAAACAAACAGATGAGATATAGATAATAGACAAATGATAATAAAAGATAGAAATGATAGATAATAGATAAATGAAAATAGAACGACAAAAAAGATAAATAGCAAATAATTTGGGTGTGCCTCAACTTACAACAATTCATTTAGTGACCGTTCAAAGTTACAACGGCACTGAACAAAGTGACTAATGACCGTTTTTCACGCTTACGACCGTTGCAGCACCCCCTCCCCCCGTGGTCACATCAAAATTCAGACGCTTGGCAACTGACTCATATTTACAACGGTTGCTGTGTCCCGGGGTCATGTGATCCCCTTTTGCGACCTTCTGCCAAGCAAAGTCATTGGGGAAGCTAGATTCACTTAACAACTGGCTTGCTTAACAACTGCAGGGATTCACTTAACGACTGTGGCAAGAAAGGTCATTAAAATGGAGCTAAGCTCTCTTAACAATGGTCTCGCTTAGCAACAGAAATTTTGAGCTCAATTGTGGTCGTAAGCCGAGGACTGCCTGTAGACAGATAGACAGACAGACGGATAGATCTGGGAGAGGGATGGATAAAGAGACCGACAGACAAATATCTAAATAAGATGTCCGAGCTGGGTGCAAAGTACGGAGGGCTGGGAAGGAAGAACCAGGCACCCGGGAATTATAGTCTCTTTACTTGAGGTCCGGGTGTCCGTCCACCAGGGCAAAGCCTGTCGGGAGCTGGCCCAGGCTATGCAGACTTAAGCCGGTCCAGCCGCAGTCCACCAACAGCTGGTTCCGATGAGGGTAGTGACCGATCACTCGCGTCCAGACCCGGACGGCCACGTCCTCCAGCTGGCAGGAGCCAATCAGCATCTGCTGGACATCTGGAAGGGAAGGAGAGCCATTGGGCCACTTGTGGTCTTTTGACCGGCCTACCTGATAGGGTTGTTGTTGCAGGGGTGGGAAGGAGGCAAATAGGTAGCCAAAACAGCAATGCACAAACATACCTCAAGTCATTCTCAACCTTGTGTGAACTTCGATTCCCACAATTCCCCAGCCAGCATGGGTGGACTTCATCTCCCAGAATTCCCCAGTCAGTAAGCTGACTGGGGAATTCTAGGAATTGAAGTCCTCCTATCTTCAAGAGTCCAAGATTGAGAAACTTGGCTGTCACTAGTAAAGCTAGGGGAAAGGAATGATGACCAAGAGGACCTGGGTTCAAATCATCTCCCTCCCCCTTGAACCCAGAGCTCCAGGTATGAATTTGGACCAGCCCCTCCTCTCTCCCTGTGTATCTATATAATTTTATATAATTTTTAATGTCTGTCTGTCTGTCTGTCTGTCTATCTATCTATCTATCATCTATTTCCATATCTATCCATCCATCCATCCCTCTCATTCTATCTATAGCTATCACGTATCTATCATCTAGTGGTATCTATCATTATCCATCTGTCCATATCTATTATCTATCTATGATTCTATCAGCTATCTATTTTTCTATCTATGGCTCTCTCTATCTTTTTATTTAACTCTGATTTTATCACCTATCTATCATCTATTATCTATGTCTCACATCTCTCTCTTCCCCCCTCTCTCTGTCACTATCATCTCTCTCTCTCGCCATTTTGGCTGCAGGGACGGAGAGGAGTGTGTTCCTAACAAAAAACGGCAGGATCTTTGTTGTCGTTTTTTCCCCCTTTGGTTTTTTTTTTTTTTTCCATGGTGGCTTTCTTTTCTCCTGGACCCTCTTTGGAACAAGGCCTGCGGCGAGGAAGCCGACATATGGAAAGCGTTAGGCCGAACATGTGCATCTGTTTAGGCTGGAAATGCCTGTCGAGCCAGCACAGAGAGCCAGTTGGGTCTGGTGGTGAAGGCACCAGGCGAGAAAGTGGGAGACGGGGAGTTCTAGTCCCGCCTCAGGCATGAAAGCCAGCTGGTTGACCAGTCACCAGGAGACGGGGAGTTCTAGTCCCGTCTTAGCCATGAAGGCCAGTTTGGGCCAATCACCAGGAGACGCGGAGTTCTAGTCCCGCCTCAGGCATGAAAGCCAGCTGGTTGACTTTGGGCCAGTCACCAGGAGACGGGGAGTTCTAGTCCCGCCTTAGCCATGAAGGCCAGTTTGGGCCAATCACCAGGAGACGCGGAGTTCTAGTCCCGCCTCAGGCATGAAAGCCAGCTGGTTGACTTTGGGCCAGTCACCAGGAGACGGGGACTTCTAGTCCCGCCTTAGCCATGAAGGCCAGTTTGGGCCAATCACCAGGAGACGCCGAGTTCTAGTCCCGCCTTAGGCATGAAAGCCAGCTGGGTGACTTTGGTTCAGCCCCCCCCCCTCTCTCTCAGCCCAGTCTACCTCACAGGACTGTTGTTGTGAGGAAAGGAGGAGGACTGAGTGGAAGAAGTGTTGGAGATAATTTGCCACCTTTTAAAAATAATAAAGAAGGGATACAAATAAAATAATAAAATAAATGAAATATAAAATAAAATAATAAAATAAATGAAATATAAAATAAAACTATAAAATAAATGAAATATAAAATAAAATATAAAATAAAATATAAAATGACATAAAATATAAAATAAAATAAACAAGACAAAAATAATGAAATAAAATATAAAAAAGTATGACATAAAATATAAAATAAAATAGTATTATAAANGGGACCCCTTGAGGTCCACAAGACGGCCAGGCCTGTTTCAGGAAGAGTCTGGGGGGGGGCGGGGAGGGGGGGTTCAGATGGGGGAACCTCTGTTGTTTTCCTTCTACTTACCATAAAAAATATAATTTCCCGGGTGAACTTCGCTGAGTTTGGCCATGATGGGCACCGGGTGGCTGCAGGAGGGCGTGGAGCCGATGCTGGACTTCAGGCAGGGCACCCCGGCTTCCCGGAGCCTGCGAGTGGGAATCAAAATGGACTCTCCTGTCATACAAGTGGTCCTTGACTTACGACCGTTCGTTTAGAGACCGTCCAAAGCTGCAAGTCGGCCTTGGAGGGGAAGCATTGGACACGGATTCTCAGATGAGGAGAAACTGCTTGCATTTTTATCGTGGGAATGTGAGAGAGGATGGATGCCAGGAATGTCCCCAGCCCCATTTCAAAGAAAAGATTCCATCCCTCGCTCTTCCTCTCTCCTTCCTTCCCTTTTCTTTCTGCTGGCTCCCATTTCTTTCCTTCTTTTTTCCTTCCTTCTTCTTTCCTTTTTTCTCCTCCTCTCTTTCCTCCTTCCTCTCTCCTGCCCTTCTTCCTTCTCTCCCCTTCTATCTTTCCCTCCTCCTCCTATTTTTCCCTCCTTCTCCTCCTCCTTTCTACTTGCTTCCTTTTCCTTTCTTCTTTCCTTTCTTTCTTGCCTCTCTTTCTTCCTTCTCTTCCCTCTTCTCTCCTTCCCCCTTTCTTCCTCTCTCCTTCCTTCTGTTCTTCCTCCTTCTGTCCTCCCTCCCCCCTCCTTCCTTCTATCTTTCGCTCCTTCTTTCCTTTTTCTTTCTCTTCCCTCCCTCCCTCCCTCCCTCCCTCCCTGGATCACGGGGCTGGACTGGAGGACCTCAAGGCAACCACACAGGCCACCTTTTTCTCTCCTTGTTTCTCTCCTTCGAATTCATTGCCAGGATATGCAAAACTTTTGCAAAACTTTCCTTTCCCTTCCCTTTGCAACCCTGCTCTAAAACCTCTGCCCCCCCGCTTTTCTTTTCTCTATGGGGTGCAAATCCACCCCCCCAGCTTTGTCTGAGCCAGTGGGAGGAGGAGGGGGGCCCTAGAAAGGCAGGGGGGAGGGGAGAGGGGAGAGGGGGGAGGACAAATGCCACTAAAGGCCACCTGGACATCGCTGGGTCTTTGAAGAGGCAACTTCAAAGGGGCAAAAGCTCACCTGAAATCCTGGGAAGAACCTGGGGGTGGCATGGGGAGGGGGGGGGAATATGGAAAAATCCCGCCAATAAACATCTTGACCCCTCCCCAATTCAGCTAAGACATTTACACCGGATAATAAACAAGGATTAGCTTTTATAGCCTTTTAACCGGAATTGGGAATCTTGACCAGACCTTTTCAAAACTGGCTAGGCCTTTTTTTAGTGTGTGGGGGGGTGGTTCAATAAAGACACATTTTTTCCCTGAAAGAAGAGATAAAATAGTCCTCAACTTACAACAATTCGTTTAGTGACCGTTCAAAGTTGCAACGGAACTGAAAAAAAGGGAATTAGGATCGTTTTTTCACACTTAAGACCGTTGCAGCCTTTCCAGGGTCACGTGATCAAAATCCAGACGCTTGGCAACTGACTCGTATTTATGACGGTCGCAGTGTCCCGGGATCACGTGATCCCCTTTTGCGACCTTCTGACCAGCAAAGCCAATGGGGGAAGCCAGATTCACTTAACGACCGTGTTAATAGCTTAACCGCTGTGGCAAGAAAGATCATAACACGGGGCAAAACTCACTTAACAAATTTCTCGCTTAGCAACAGGAATTTTGGGCTCAATTATGGTTGTAAGTTGAGGACTCCCTGTAATGCAGGGGAAAAAAGGGACAAAAATGTTGCAATCCAAAAGCGCAGATGAGGGAGGAGATGAAAATTGAGCCTGAGTTATAACTCTGCAGTGGGTTCTAGTCCTGCTTTAAGCAGGAAATCTGGCTGGGTGACTTTGGGCCAATTACTGGGAGTGGGTGAGTTCTAGTTCAGCCTTAGGCATGAAAGCCAGCTGGGTGACTTTGGGCCAATCACCAGGAAACGGTGAGTTCTAGTCCCGCCTTAGGCACCAAAGCCAGTTGGGTGAGTTTGGGCCAATCACCAGGAGACTGGGAGTTCTAGTCCTGCCTCAGGTGTGAAAGCCAGCTGGGTGACTTTAGGCCAATCACTGGGAGAGGGTGAGTTGTAGTTCCACCTTTGGAATGAAATCCAGTTGGGTGACTTTGGGCCAATCACCAGGAGACTGGGAGTTCTAGTCCTGCCTCAGGTGTGAAAGCCAGTTGGGTGACTTTGGGACAGTTCCTCTCTCTCTCTTTGGCCAATCTACCTCACAGGGTTATTGTTGCGGAAAAAACAAGAGGAGGAAGGTATGTTTGTCATCCTGAGGTATTTATAAAAATAATAAGCCTGGAAAAGAAAGAAAGAAAGAAAGAAAGAAAGAAAGAAAGAAAGAAAGAAAGAAAGAAAGAAAGAAAGAAAGAAAGAAAGAAAGAAAGAAAGAAAGAAAGAAAGAAATACTTACTGCTCCATAAAGTTCAGGGTCATCTCCGTGGTCCTCTGGGCGACCGACTGGGTTTCCGACACCCCCTGGCAGCCGTACGAGTTGCCACAATGGGCGTAGATGCCCACCAGCTCCGTCGTGCCTTCGGAGACAGCCTTGGCGAGACGCAGAGCGGCGGGATCCGAGGCTTTCACACCGGCTGCAAAAAAAAAAAAGCAGAGAAAGGGAGCTGATTCCCCACCGTACAGGTAATCCTCAATTTACGACCACAACTGACCTCAAAATTTCTGTTGCGGAGCGAGGCAGTCATAATGTGAGTTTTGCCCCGTTTTACGACCTTAAGTGAATCCCTGCAGTCGTAAAACGAGTCACACGGTCGTTAAGTGAATCCGGTTTCCCCATGGACTTGGTTGGTCAGAAGGTGTCGCAAAAGGGAATCACGTGACCCCAGGATACTGCGACCGTCGTAAATTCGAGTCGGTTGCCAAAGCGGTCGTGTGAAAAACGGTCCTAGGTCACTTTTTTTCAGTGCCTTTGTAACTTCAGTCACTAAATGAACGGTCTTAACTTGAGGACTGCCTGCAATGTTAGCGATGCCTGTTCTCTTCCACAACCTAGTGCCTCAGGAAGACCAGAACCATGGGTCCCATCATATTGAAGGGCAGAGCTTGTGGGCCAACCTCAAGTGCCTGAGCTATTTAAGAAACCTTAAAACTTGAGTTTGGGCAAATGGAACCTCCAGTCTCGGGAGTAGTCTACCTTAGGATTTCTGAAGATGGGAAAACGAGAGAAAATGCAGCAGCCAATTGCAGTCAGGCCCTTACATGAAGTCTGGTGGGTCACTAGCACCCTGTGTTGCGAGAATCTTCTGGATTCGAACTCATTACTCTGTTGATTGTATGGGGATGAGATGGAGGGGCTCGGCTTGGGAAGGAAGAGGAAGAGGGAGAAGCATAAACTTCCTCAATATGGGCTCGTTCCTTATTTATTTATTTACGTATTTGTTTATCCCATTTCAACATTTATGTGCTGATTCAGAGTTTCCCAGCCTTGCCAAGTTTAAAATGGGTGGACTTCAATTCCCAGAATTCCTTTGAAAATCGGTCCTAGATTTTTTGTCTACTTGAAGTCCTCAACTTACGATGGGTCGTTTAGTGACCGTTCAAATTGACAATGGCACTGAAAAAAGGACAAATTTTCCACACTTATGACCGTTGCAGCATCCCCCACGGTTCACATGATCAAAATTCGGACGTTTGGCAACCGACTCGTATTTATGACGGTCGCAGCGTCCCGGGATCACATGATCCCCCTTTTGCGACAAGGAAAGTTTTGGGGGAAGCCAGATTTTACTTAACAACCACATGATTCATTTAATAACTGCAATGATTCGCTTAACAATTTTACAAAAGGGAGCAAAACTCACTTAACAACTGTCCTGCTTAAAAACGGAAATTTTTGACCGAATTGTGGTCATAAGTTGAGGACTACATGTATTGCCTAAATCTCGGGTTTTTCTACCCAATCTGTGTCTTTTCTTTTCCACTGTTTCTAGATCCCCCCCCATTTGGAGAATTTGGGGGTCACGACTAGCAGAGAGCAGGAAAAGGAGGCTAAGGGGACACAGCTAGTCCTCGACTTACGACCATTTACTTAATGACCATTTGAACTTAAGACCTCACTGAAAAAAATTGAGTTATGATGAGTCCTTGTACTTATGACCCTTGCAGTGTCTCTGTGGTCATGTGATCAAAACTGGCAACTGGCATGAACTTATGACGGTTGCAATGACCTTTCCAGCTGGCCTCTGGCAAGCAAAGTCAATGGGAGAAGCCAGATTCACTTAACGACCGTGTGATTCATTTAATGGCCACCGGGATTCACTTAACGGCCATGGCAAAATTGGTTGCAAAATTGGCCATAAGTCAATTAGCAATTGCCTCACTCAGAAACAAAAGTGCTAGTCCCTATTGTAATTGTAAGTCGAGGATGAATTGTGTGTTCCCAGCAGAGCAGGTACCTCGTGCGTTGTCGCAGTCAATCTTCAACCACACTTTCCAGGGCCGGCCCGTCCGCAGAGGCCTCCTTTTCAGCCGGTCCAGGGCTTGTGGACTGTCCACCAACACCTGGAAGGCGTCCAGCTTCTCGGCCAGGGCGGCACAATCGTCCACCTTGTCGAAGGGCAGCGGGTAAGCATAGAGGATGTCGTCGAAGCCGCCGTCGGCAAAATAGCGGGCCTCGGCCAGCGTGGAGACCACAATTCTCCGCAGGGAGCCCCCCGTCATGAGGTGCCCGCCTTCCCTGTGAGGGAGGCAGAGAAAGAAGAATGACTGCGGGGGATGTGAGTGGTCCCTGGGGTTCCCTGAGTTGGGTGGTTTCCTTGCAGACGTTTCGTGACCCAACTAGGGAACATCATCAGTGCTAGAAGGGAGGAGGAGGAGGNGACGACAATGACTGAGGTTCTTTGGTCCACTCTAAGCTTGGGTGGTTTCCTTGCAGACGTTTTATGACCCAGCTAGGGAACGTCATCAGTGCTAGAAGGGAGGAGGAGGAGGAGGAGGAGGAGGAGGAGGAGGACGTCGTCTCATGACCCAACTAGGGAACGTCATCCCTCATTGGGTGAGTTTGTGTAGTGGAGGAGGAGGGTGGTGCAGAGTCCGAATATCACCCGGGGGGAATTTCCCTGCAAGAGACCCAAGCTGAGCATTGCTGATGAGAGACCCCCCCCCACTCACAGCGTCTTGTGGGTCTTCATGTGGGGCCTGAGGGCCACCCCCAGCGCTTGGCAACGCTCCTGCATGCGCTGCGCATTCCTCGAGGCTACGTCGAGATCCACCGTAAAGGCCGGAGTCGGCAATTCCGCCACAGGCCGTCCTTCCCACATGCTCTGTAAAGAAACATAGATGGAAGTCAGGAATCACCTAACTGGGATGCGCCGAGTTCAAGAAGCTGCTGAAAGGGACTGAGGGCTGAATCCCAGCATCCCAGGGGTGGGAGGGGCCTTAGAGGTCATCTAGTCCGGCTCTCCCCATCCTTTCCGGCTTGGCTCACTCACGGGCAAGGAAAGGGATGGTTCTATGTGAGCACCACTGCTTGTGCGCCCCAATTTTGAACGGGCCTCGGCCTGGGGGACCCCTGATTTACTTCAACCCCCCCCCTCAGTGCAGGCTCCGTAGAGCTGCGTTCCTCAGTCTGGGGCCATACGGATCTTGGGGCCCCTAAGTAAAAAAAATTACAATGGGACCCCATGGCGCATGGTGACAGGCACCCAAACAAGCAAGGTGTATTTTACTAAGTCCTTGCCTGATGTCCACTTATTTAATGACCATCTTAAGTCAGAACGGCACTGGAAAAAAGTGACTTATGACCGTTTCCCACATTTAATAGGGCTCTATGGCCGGTTCTCGCACTTATGACCATCGAACCGTCCCTCCTGGTCGCACGATCAAAATTTGTGCTCTTGGAAATGGAACGTATTTACGATGGTCACAGCGTCCTGGCGAGAGTCACCTGACCCCCTCTTGCGACCTTCTGACCCGCAAAGTCAATGGGGGAAACCGGATTCACTTAATGACTGATTCAGTTAATGACTGCAGTCATAAACAACCATGGGCCAAAGGCCGTGAAATTGAATGTGATACACTTAACAAATTCCTTGTTTAGCCAGTCGTAAGTCAAGGCCTACATGTATACTGCAAGAGCCACTGTTGATGGCAGGAAAAGTTCCAGATACTGTCGAGCGTCGGTAAAGGGACCTGGGGGGAAGGGGGGGGAGGCTCAAAGGAGAAAAACAAGGTCAGATGGGGGGCCCAGCTAAAAAAAATATTTAGATTTCCTTTGGTAGAGCTCCACCCATTTTAACTTAAATTACAGATAGTCCTTGACTTTCAACCACAATGGAATCCAAAATTTCCACTGCTGAGACGATTGTTAAATGAGTTTCGCCCCATTCTACGACCTTTCTTGCCACAGTTGTTAAGTGAATCCCTGCATTTATTAATTTAGCAACACGGTTGTTAAGTGAATCCTGCTTCCTGCTTCCCCAGAAGGTCGCAAAAGGGGATTACGTGGCCCTGGGACACTGCAGCCGTCATAAATATGAGTCAGTTGCCAAGCGGCTGAATTTGGATGACGTGACCAGGTCATAAGTGTGAAGAACTGTCCTTTTTTCAGTGGTGTCATAACTTTGAGCAGTCACTAAAGAAACTGTTGAGGACTACTTTGTAATGAAAATGCAAAACCAACAGGTTTTATTTATTTATCTCCATAATGTTTTAATGTGTTATTAACAATGTGTTATTTCCATCATGTTTCACAACCACCCTGTGAGGGAGGACGGAGTGTCAGAATTCCAGCAGAGATACCTACCGCCACAGGGGATCAGATTTCTGGACGGCGGATGTCACTGGAACAATGTCTGTGGAGCAAAACGTTGATGGGTTGGTTAGATTTATATCCCAGAGTGGTGTCTATTCCTCTATTGTTTTTTTTTCCACAACAACCTTGTGGAGTGGGCCGGCTTGAGAGTGATCCAAAGTCCAGTAGGCAGCTTCTATGACTGACAGGAGGGGGAAGCCAGACCCTGGGGCCCATTGCTGTTAGTCCCACAGTGCGGTGCACTGATACACACAAAAAATGATGCCTCTGGACCCACAAAGGATTGCCAGGACTTCCCTTGCATTAAACCAGGGATCTTCAAACTCAGCCCTTTTATGACTGGTGGGACTTCAACTCCCAGAATTCCTCAGTCGGCCATTTTGATGAAACTGTGGGCTTAGATCCAGACTCTCAGGGGTCTTCCAACTTGGCCCTTTTATGACTGGTGGACTTCAACTCCCAGAATTCCTGTCGGCCATTTTGATGAAACTGTGGGCTTAGATCCAGACTCTCAGGGGTCTTCCAACTTGGCCCTTTTATGACTGGTGGACTTCAACTCCCAGAATTCCTCAGTCGGCCATTTTGATGAAACTGTGGGCTTGGATCCAGACTCTCAGGGGTCTTCCAACTTGGCCCTTTTATGACTGGTGGGACTTCAACTCCCAGGATTCCTCAGCCAGGTTGGCTGAGGAATTCTGGGAGTTGAAGTCCACAAGTCATAAAAGGGCCAAGTTGGAAGACCCCTGGTTTAAAACATTGTTTTTCATCCTGGGCCATTTTAAGATGAGTAAAATTCCCCAACAAGCAAGCACGGACTTCAAGTCCCAGAATTCCCTAGCAAGCATGTACTCCCAAATTCCACAGATAGCTTGCGGGCTGTGGAATTCTGGGAGTTGAAGTCCACCTGTTGAAACAAAATGGTCAAGATTGGGAAAAAAAACCCGCTGTTTTTCGAAGATTTTGCCACCCTTCCCCCCCCCGGTTTCTTTTGTGCGGAGGGGGCAATTTCCAAACCTGGCTTGATTTCAGATTGCAGATCGGGCGCCCGCAAATATCTTGCAAGGCTTGCAAGCTTGCAATCGCCTCCAGAGTCAAAGCAACGTTTGGATGCGTCCCGGGGAAAGACGCAGGTTTGCACCCCGCATTACCTCTCGGGGCGCTGGAAAAAAAAGGGGCGCAAGGAGGGTCACTCCATACTGACCATCCGGACCCGGGCAAAGTCCAGCTGGGAGGGGCGGTCACGTGAGCAAATGGGCCGGTTCAGCTCTTTTGCACCCTTCAAGAACTGCAAGTTCCAGAGTGCTCAGCCAAGCACGCGCGAGGCATTCTGGAAGTTGTAGTTTATTGCATGGGGAAGTTGCCGGCTGGAGAGAACTGGAATGAGCTTTTTTGCAAGATAGAGTAAGAGATGCCATAGATAGATTCATATATTTGTGTATGTGTGTGTGTGTGTGCGCGCGCGCGCGCGCGCTTCAAAGTTTGTAAATGTAAAAATATTGCAGCAGCAAACTAAAACGTACTCGGGCACGAAAGAGTTAACAAAGCGGACTTGCCGGGGGGGGGAGGAAGAGGAGGAGCATTTGGAGGTTGGGGTTTTTTTTCCCGCCCGCCCGCTCTATTTTTTTACCTTGCCGGGACCGTAGAACCACAAAGCTAGTTGGAAGAGAAGGGGGGGGGATGCGCATGCGCGTTACGAATAGATGCCGTGTTGGCTTTGTCACGCGCTCCGATTCCACCCATGGTGCTTTATGCTGGCCAACAGCGCCACCTGCCGATGAGAGAAGCTGTTTTAGCGGGCAAGTGAGCGATGTGCTTGTTAGTGCGTGGGAAGGGGGCGTTTTTGACCCGCTTTTTTTGCGGGTTTGGTGCAATCGAACTGCTCTTGCGTCGGCCTGCTATGGTTGTCCAATCCCTTCTTTAAAACTTCCAGTGTTGGAGCATTCACCGCTTCTGGAGGCAGGTTGTTCCACTGGCTAATTGTTCAGTCAGGAAGTTTCTCCTTAGTTCCAGGTTGCTTCTCTCCTTGCTTAGTTTCCACCCGTTGCTTCTTGTCCTGCCTCCAGGCGCTTTGGAGAATAGCTTGACTCCCTCTTCTTTGGGGCAGCCCCTGAGATACTGGGAGACTGCTATCATGTCCCCCCTCGTCCTTCTCATCGTTAAACTAGACATACCCAATTCCAGCCACCGTTCCTTATATGTTTTAGCCTCCAGTCCCCTGATCATCTTTGTTGCTCTTCTCTACATTTTCTAGACTCGTGTCAATATCTTTTTTATATCGTAGCGATGAAAACTGGATGCAATATTCCATTGCACAGAAGGAAGCAAGAAAGGGAGGGAGGGAGGGAGGAAGAACAAGGGGAAGGAAGGAAGACAAGGCAGAGGAAAGAAGGAAAGAGAGGAAGGAGAAAGAAAAAGGAAGGAAGGAAGGAAGGAAGGAAGAAAGACGAGCCAGAGGAAAGAAGGAAGGAAAAAGAAAGGAAGGAAGACAAGGCAGAGGAATAATGAAAGAGGAAGGAAAAAGAGGAAGGAAGGAAAGAGGAAGGTAGAAGGAAGGAAGGAAGGAAGGAAGGAAGGAAGGAAGGAAGAAGGAAGGAAGGAAGGAAGGAAGGAAGGAAGGAAGGAAATTAATGACTCCCGAGTTCCAGTGCTGGCTGGGGAATTCTGGGAATTGAAGTCCACTCATCAAAGTTGTTGAGGTTGAGAAACACTACACCACTGAGTGACGAGTTCAAGAGCATACCATAATAAGCATTTTTCTCTGTGTGGGGAAACTGCTGTCAATTCTTTTGACTATTTTTTTTCCCTGCAAGTATTACTGGAACGAATGGCAGAGCAATTGCTCAATAGCTGTTGAGCTTAGCAAATCTTTTGCATATTTTACAGTTATAATTTTACATGAGAATAATTAGCTGTTAACCGGTTAAATTTTTTGCTTAAGGTTTTGTGTGGGCGTGTGAGCACGTGCACGCATGCACATATATTCATATATTAACAAATTCAGTCCTTCCGTTTCCATTTCACAGGTCGCCCTCAACAACCACTTGTAGTAAATTAGTTAAGATGGTGCTCAAAAAAGTCTGATCCTCACAACTCCTGACCAGTCCTCACACTTACAACCCAGTATCTCCACAGTCAAAGTTCGTCCCGCTGGCAACTGGTATGTATTTGTCCTGGGGTCATGTACTTGCCATCTGCAGCCCGAGTCTGCTTAATGACGAAGTGATTCACTTAACAACATCCTTGGTTAACAATGAAAGCTCAGATTCCAATTACACTGAGCACTATAGTACCTGTACAGCTATACACACACACACACATATACACACATAATTTTTGGCTCAATTGTGATTGTAAGTCAAGGACCACCAGTGGATGTACGACCACAATTCAGCCAAAAATTTCTGTTAATAAGTGAGACATTTGTAAAGTGAGTTTTGTTCCATTTTTCCTGCTACGGTAGTTAAATAAACCACTGCAGTGGTTAAGTTAGTCACACGGTCATTAAGTGAATCCGGCTTCCCGGTTGACTTAGCTTCCCAGAAGGTCACAAAAGGGGATCACATGCCACCCCCGGGACACTGCGACCATCATAAATATGAGTCAGTTGCCAGGCATCTGAATTTTGATCACGTGACTCTGGAAAAGCTGCAACGGTCCTAAGCGTGAAAAACGGTCCTAATTCACTTTTTTCAGTGCTGCTCTAACTTTGGTCACTAAGCAAACAGTCGCAAGTTGAGGACTACCTGTCTAATCAGCAAAATTAAGGTTAAAATAAGTTAACTCAGCCTTGGGTGGAACACCCCGATTGCATAACTGCCTTCTTTTTGTGTTTCTACTCCTAACTGGAACCACAACCAAAGTGTCGCACATAACAGTCAACAACTACACAATGCCGCTTTTTTTTAGCCGTTTATTTAAAGTCGGGTGAACAGGAATATCCTCCATTGGTGAGGCAAAACCAGTAAAATTCAAGGCAAGCAGTCCCATTCAAGTTTAAGGCATATTTTTTTTATTTTTCTAAATTTAAAAAATTCAGATTGTGCTTTTCATTTTTCTGGAAGGAAAAAAAAGACGCAAGGCAGTGCAGGCTAAGGGGGATTTATCCTGCCCCACAGGCCTTTTAAAACCAGACCCCCCTTTTCCAACACCCTCCTGGGAGAGTACCAGCAACATCCAGCAAGCTTGCAATCCCTTCCTTACTCACAGGTAGCTCAATCTGCAAGGGAAGCTTTTAAACGCCCCCGTGGTTGCTGCAGATCTGCGCCTCCTTTATAATTTATTTATTGCAAAATACAGATTTCCCCTTTTTCTTTAAAAACAGGCAAGAGAAATTGAGCAACCAACGGCCGTACTTAAACCGAGAAGGCTGGGCTGGAACAGTGGCTCAGATCGAAGTGGAGCATGGATCTTTGTCCTCTCTGAGGGTCCTCGGTCTTGGATCAGGGCAAAATAGAGGTTTCTGGGGTGGGGGTGGGGTGACATAAAGGCAACCCCTGTTCCTGTAATTCCAATCCTTAAAACAAACTTGGATGCTTGAAAACGAGTGGACTTCAACTCCCAGAATTCCCTAGCCAGCCTGCTGGCTGGGGAATTCTGGGAGTTGAAGTCCGCCCATTTTCAAGCTGGAAAAGTGTCTGGAAGCATTTTTTGCAGCCAAGTTTTGCTTTGCATGCAAATCCGAAATATGTTTAATTCCAGAGAATGCTTCTCTTTCTTTAAAAATATTCATATATTTTTTAAAAGCTTTGGGTCTAGAGAGAATTCGGTTCTCTCTCTTTTCTCTTTCTCCACTTCCACTGTGCCAAAAATGATTGCGTACTACTACCCACCACAATATAGACTGTGCACAACGCACACGTGGAAAGGACACCTCAGTGCATTGCCCTGTGCCGACCGACACGAGGACCCTGTTTTGCCAGCCCTAAATTTGCACTAAATAAACCCACCCGCTCAGATTCTCCCCAACAAACCAGCCCAACAATCTTAGAAATTTCAGAACCGTAGTCGTTGTGAGTCAGCCAACAGTGACAAAACACCAGTGTTAAATTTCACGCGGGTTAAAGGACATATCCACCCTGAGCCTCGGGTGCTTTTTTTCGTGGAGTCGGGAAAACTCTGAAAATTTAACACCTCTGCCCCTTTTAAATACAAAACATAATAATAATAATAATAATAATTAAAACCGTAGAAAAAATTTGGAACGCTGATATTCGTAAAAGTTACAAAAGACGTTTTTGTACATTGAAAAGTCACAAGGAATTGACGCTGCAGGAGATTTGGGGGAGAAAACAAACCCAAAGACACTTAATTTTCTCCAAAGTGAAAATATTGCACTTCGTGGAAATTGGTCTCTATTCCAGAATTTTCTTTTTTTTTTTTTTTGAAAGAGAGAGAGAGAGAAGACCTGGAGTGGGTAGGAGATTAGAAAACAGATTTTAAGAACGATTTCAACCTTGTAGACAATTGTGGAGCAATTGAAGATCTTGTCTTGGTTTTGGGAGATCCATTCTGGCTGGGGATGGTTGGATTTGTAGTCTCCTAGAGAATGCTTACCTGGGGGAGAAAAAGAGAAAACGAGAGAGGTGGAAAGAACATGATAAAACATTTGTAACCTGGACTCAGTTTCCCTCTACGTAAAAGTAGATGTGTTAGTGGGCCAAAAAGGGGGGGAAAATACCATCTTGAATTTCTTACTGAAGTGTTCTCAACCTTGGCAACTTGCAGATGTGTGGACTTCATCTCCCATAATTCCCCAGTGAGCATGCTTTAAAATGGGTGGATTTCAACTCCCAGAATCCCCCAGCCGGCATGCTTTAAGATGGGAGGAGTTCGACTCCCAGAATCCCCCAGCCGGCATGCTTTAAGAGGGATGGACTTCAACTCTCAGAATTCTGGGAGTCGAAATTCACACGTCTTCAAGTTCTCCAGGTTGAGAAACCCTGTTCTAATGCTTCAATTTGTGGTGCTATAACATCCCAAGAAATATCTGAGCCAGCTTCTGCGAATCTACAAATTCCTCATCTGCCAAGGAGCAGAAGAGCAGCTGTCCTCTTCTCCCTCTTCCTAACAAGAGGACGAACCAACAAACCCAACAGTAGAATAATTAAGAGCAGGATAAAAATCAAGGAAGCTCAGAGATAAAACAATGGAATAGCTTTCTAGGGGCAACTGAAGACAGAAGATCTTCAGTGGTGTGCCTGGAGGACAAAGTATGTTCTCCCTTAGGAAGAAGACCACCACAAAAGACAACGCAAGGAAGGAAGGAAGCCACGTGAGGATGGAGATGGGAACCAGTTCTTCTCCAGGACATTCAACTTCATCAACGTGCTTTGGGTAGCCACAGAAGTGGGGCAGAGGGATAATCCAGACACGAGTGGATGAAGGATCACCTTGTTCCAGGCCAACCGGTTGAACGTGTGAAACCAGAGGTGCTCTCCTTCAGGGGCGCAGCTTCCTTCAACCACGTGGGCGAAGAGACAGAATGACCTTCCCAAGAAGGCTGGTAGTTGGAACAGCTGTGGAGCAATGGAGGACCTTGTCTTGGTTTGGAGAGATCTTCAGGACCACCGCAAGGGACGGGAAGGTCGGACAGAGCTGATGTTCTCCTTCCAATGTGGAATCTGCTCCGATTTGTCTTTGTGATGAAACTTGTGCGGTTTCTGGTTATCTCAGAACCTTCTTCCTCCCCCCTCTTCTCTGTGCAGAAGTTTAGAAGTGCAGATATCAACAGGTGCTTAAGAGGAAGATGGTGCCCATATCCATAAAACATGTAAAGGATGGAGGAGAGAGTCACTGTTTCCAGCAGGAAGACCTTGACCAAGACTTATAGGGAGTGTCTATTGAGTGGATTTTCTGAAAGTGAGGAGTGAAGAGGAGAACTGACTGGGGGTACCATCCTCCACTCCAAGGCTCCTTGTCTCGGACACACAGAATCCTAAGGCCTTGAGGCAGGATCGGATATAACCCACGGGCACCAAGGTTGTCTTTTATTGCTAGTGAAGGTACGTGGGGCGTGGTGTTGGAAACAGTTGGCCCCCAACGAATGAATGAATGGGCCTCCCATATCCCCAGTGGTCAACTGTCCAAGGAAGGTTTCCAACACCAGGCCACCAGAGGGCACCAAACCTGTGGGGAAAGCTCACTTTTTTCATACCGTATGGGATTAGAATTCACCTCCTGCCCCATCTCTGGCATAACGCTTATGGGTTGCCCTGCCCTTTCCACCTTTCTTGGTTACAACTTGAGGACCAAGAGCTCCTGGCCTCACTATTCCTGACTTCCCTTTAAAGCTTTCTTCAGAGTTCAAGAGAACTTCTCACCCACCAGGACACGGAAAGCAACGGGGGGTCCACTTTGGTTGCAGGTGTTCCGTGTAGTGCAACTAACATCTCCTTAAGGCCACCACCAAGAGACCACCCGCATTTTTAAGGTTGGGATGTCTATTGCTTCACTTGTGACCCTCCCACCCACGACTCTAACACACAGTGGGAGGGGGCAAAGACAATCTGGCAGCCCTCCCCCCCCCATTCCTCCTTCGCTCACGCTCTCCAGTGTAAGACAATGAATACAAACATTTGACGTTTCAAGCTCTACAGGAATCAACAGTAATATAGAATCAATCGGTGGGCAACAGCTGAATGGACTCAGGGAAACCACACACACACACGCACGCACGCACACACACGCACACACACAAAACCCAGATTGTTCTGCTGCATGCACTGTATTCAGGAGCCTGCTCCAGATGTGTGCAGGTTCACGCTCCTGGGCAGTTGCCGTAGGGTATCCCTACAGCCGCAAGGATCCCCCAGCCACGCGACACGAGAGGCAGCCGCCGTGGTGGACCTTCTCCTGGGAGAACCTGGGGTCCACTGTGGCAGAGGGGTGACTACAAGGCAACGGGAAATTAAAAACGAGGCCTCTATTTGGACTCCGTCGGATGGTATTCTGTCTCGCCCGAAGACACCTGGGAGATACGTCGCGTCGAGCGCCACAGCCGCCGGTGGAACTGGCCCGTCCGCACCTGGAGAACGAGAAGAGAGGTGGGCAAAGGAGGGTCCACAACCTCAGAGCTCCTCGGGCTCTGCTTGACCAAGACAGGGTCGCAGGGAACCAGTAGAATTTTGACCATGGTGGACTTTTAAGGTCTCCGTCATGTCCAGCTGGGATGACGAACAGCTGGAGATGGAAGAGTAGCCATTTAGAGCAGGGGTAGTCAACCTTGGCTCTTTTATGACTCGTGGACTTCAGCTCCCAGAATTCCTGAGCCAGCATAGTGGAACTATGGCCCCCTCATGACTCGTGGACTTCAACTCCCAGAATTCCTGAGCCAGCATGGCTCAGCTTGGAAACCTCTCCCTTTCCCCTCAGCATGGCTGGCTCAGGAATTCTGGGAGTTGAAGTCCACGAGTCATAAAAGAGCCAAAGTGGCCTAGCCCTGCCCTAGAGGAATTAAGCTGAGTTGGGGGGGGCAGAGAGGCTGACTCTCACCTCCGAAGGCTGTCCTGCACCCACCACGATCAGCTTCCCGTCTTCCAGACCCACCAAGATGTGGCTCTTCTCTTTCGTCACGGAGACGCTGTGGATGGGGACCTTCATGATCAGAGAAGGAATTGCCGGCTGCAACCTAGTGGGAGAGAAAATGGAGTGGAACAACCAAGGGAATCACGGGATAAATTTCTTGGCCTGCCACCTTTTTGCTCATGGAAATTACACTTATTATCCTGCCCATCTCCTCTGGACTCTCCCCGACAGACGGTCCTCGACTTACAACCAAAATGGAACCCACAATTTCTGTCGCTACGTTGTTTTGCCCCACTTTACGACCATTCTTGCCATAGTTGTTAAGTGAATCCCTGTGGTTGTTCAGTTAGTAACACCGTTGTTAAGTGAATCCGGCTTCCCCATCATCAGATGTTCACAAAAGGGGATCACGTGACCCCCGGGACACGGCAACTGTCATCAGTACATGCCAGTTGCCGAGCATTCTGAAATTTGATCATGTGGCCACAAGGGATGCGACAAGTGTGGTGTGAAAAACAGTCATAAGATCTTTTTCAGTGCTGTTGTAACTTAGAACAGTCACTAAATGAATGGTTGTAAGTCGAGGACAACCTGGATTGCTGAAACACGGGTATCTTGGTCAGATCAAATCAGGAATAAGGTCTCCGAAGAGAAGAACAGTTTCAGAAAGAGGGTGGATTAGGCAGTGTTTGTGATGGGTTGTGCCTATGACTGGGGAGGTGGTGTGATGGAAGTTTCACAGCTATGAGTGAGTACAAGGACGGGTGTGAGACAAGAGACAGCCCAGATCAGAAATGGATCATGAAAAGAAAAAGAGAATTAGAACAGCCACTCCATAGAATCTCCCCCTTAGGGTGAGAATAGCAAAAGTTTACTCTGGCAAGATTCCATGTGTTGGGTGTGAGCAAACGGAGAACTTAACCTTGGCTGGATTGTGGGTTCCTTGGTGCTCTCTGAGCTTGGTTGTTTACTTGCAGACGTTTGATGACCAAACTGAAATGGCTGCAAGAAAACAAGCAAGCTCAGTGAGCACCAAGGAGGCCACAGAAAGAGAAACCCAGATAAGCATGGATTAACACAAGACAAACAATTAAGCAGAAAGCAATACTCTAATTCAGGGATCCCCAATGTATGGTCTACGGCCCGTCTATTGGCCACTTGACCCTGGGAATAGCTGGCGAGCCCCGCCCCACTCGCGGTAGCACTGCCGCGCGGGCACTAGCGCGCCATTTGCACATGCGCAGGGATGCTAGTACTGCCACCAATGTCACGTGGGCGCCAGCAGCCCATTTGCGCATATGCACAGGCTCAGCGTGCGTGCCGTGGGTGCGTGCAGCCCACTTGTGCATGCATGCTAGCGCTGCTGTCGTGAACACACCCGTTTGCGCATGCACGCACAGAGCCACAGACGCACACATTTTCCTTCTGGGTCGTCAGGCTGGAAAGATTGAGGAACTCTGCTTTAATTGAAAAAGTACCAAAGGGAGAAAAAAACTACTACTGCTAAAGTCTGACCCTCCCTTGAATGTTTTTTGAGTCTTATCTGGTCTTTCCCAGGCTGGTCTGGGAAGATTCCTGTAAATAGGCATTCAACAATAAAGTAGCTGGTTTGAACTCTACCCCTGTGGGTCTGTTTGTTCGCGCCTGGCGATATCTAAGCATAGATACCGTAAGTCCCACCGAGAGAACACGGTAGCCGTGTGTCAAAAAAGAGAAACTGAGGCAGGAGAAGAAGGTTACCTCTGAAGGTCCTTGATCTGCAACGAACACTGAAGGGTACCCAGCACGACAAAGTCCTCCGTGACACACATGGAGGTAACCTGCTCATCCAGAGGGACAGAAGACAGATGCTTGCCGTTGACGGAGTACAGGTGGAGGGCAAATTTGTCCTTTAGTAAGGAGAAGGAAGGAGAAGCTGGGGGTTAGCTGAGCAGGGCCCGTACGAAGTAGAGATAGTCCCCAATTTACAAATAATCGTTTAGTAACTGTTTGAAATTACAGTGGCACTGAAAAAAATGAGTTATAACTGTTTTTCCTTCCCCTCCCCCTCCTTTCCGCCAAGTCCACTCCATCAAGCTCGGAGGGCACCAAGAACCCCACAGTCTTCCCCCTCCCCTCCTCATCCTCACAGTCCCCACTCGCTTCTACTACTGATGACGTTACCTAGTTGGGTCATGAAATGTCTATAAGAAAACCAACTCAGCACCAAGGAGGGGGATGATGAGGATGATGATCATCATCATGTCCTCCTCCCAAACTCCACTCCCTTCTAGCCCTGATGATGTTACCTAGTTGGGTCATGAAATGTCTGCAAGAAAACCACCCAGCTCAGAGAGCACCAAGGACCCCACAATCCATCCATTCCTCCCTCCCTCCCTCCCTCTCTCCCTCCCTCCCTCCCTCCATCCCTCCACCCATCCATCCATCCATCCTTCCTTTCTTCCTCCTCCTCCTCCTCCTCTTCCCTTCTAGAATTGATGACGTTCCCTAGTTGGGTCATGAAACTTTTGCAAGAAAACCACCAAGCTCTGAGAGTACCAGGGACCCC